ATTAATGGTGCTCACTGTCATTTTGCATTTAAATCTGAAAAAAGTCATTTGAACAAGAGCAACTTTTTTTCTTCTAGTTCATGGTCAACAACAAGCCATTTATATTAAAATTATTAGTAAAGCACAGCTCTATGATTCGAGTATAAATGGATCGAAACTCATTGAAATTCTTGCAAAATGCATGACACTTTCGTATGAAACAATTTGGCTATGGATTTAGTTTTCCAGATAGAATTCTATGAAAAATGTTTCCAATTTCAAAACACATATTTATTCACTCTATCTATATGTCACGACGAAAAGTAGACAGAGTATAGAAGAAGAAAGCTACCACCACCACAAAGAGAAAAAGATAATCGGCAGACTTTCCATTGTTAGCTAGGCCGACATCACCGCTAACAGTCAGGTATCATACATCATACTCCCGTAGCCAAAAGGTTCATTAATACTCGTCAATGTTCGATAGTTGATCGATTGAAGTTTTATTTTGGACAATATTGTTATACATCTGGCTTATTACTTCATTTATAACTGAAGCTTATTTAAAAGTAAACGTTTGAAATCAATGTTTTACATTGATCATGTGGAATGAAAAGAAATTTCATGAGTAATACCGTTCTTTTTAGATTCGATATAACTCATAACTATTTGCATATATTCCTTAAGAATGAAGCATCCGATTTAACTTCAATATTTGCTAGATTGAAAGATCATACAAGTCTGGAAAACAATTAGCAGTCATGGTTTGTAGCTACACCTATTCTTCTCTCTTGAAAACAACTATTTGTTTAGTTGACTTGTACTCACTATAAGACTAGAAAAAAAATTTGCAATATTTGTGAAGCTTTTTTTTTTTGGAAAATAATACGCCTTGAAAACTTATTAATAAATTCATCTCTCCGTTGAAATATAATCTTCAACAATTGTCATATGAGTAGTGTCTTTTAATCTACGGAATGATTTGCTTACGTTACATAACAGATAATAAACATCAATAATAACAACAACAGCAACAACGAATAAAGGAGAAAAGGAAATAATGTGTAAGCATACATCATGTGCAATCACTGTTGATCTACTAATTGAAAAAAGGTACACACACACACCCTAAAAATTTGACTTTGGCGATGATAAGATCGTATCTTGAATATGTGTAAGTAAATCAGCATATAATTTTTCTGTATTCGATTCATTCGTGAATGCTTGTTCAAATTGACGCCGTTGTTCAATATTCGTTAACTAAAATTAGTAAAATAGATTTATTTTTTGATTGAATTAAACGATTGTCTAATTCTTCAAAACGAGCAATGAAACGTGATAACGTCAATGGAAACCTAAAAAGGTAAAAGATATATCGTATTATCATCTATGAGAATTCATTTTGACATTTTATATGGTAGTAGAAAGTTTAGCATACATGTATTTCTTGAGATATTCTCTGTAGAGTTCTTTGAGAAAAAAATCAACTTTTGTGAAATTTATCGATTTTGTGATTTACAGCTCGTTAGATAAAGTAAAGTATTTACTTAAAACTGCAATGTAAATTATTGATTTTTAATTGATCGTTATTCTTTTGGATTGAAACAAAAATTTTTTTTCATTAATCTTTTGCTATTTATCTTTTCCAAATAAATTTTAATCGTATGTGTAAGTCTTGATCATTTTTAAAAAGAAAACTAGGAAGAATATTTAACCATAGGTGGAAAAAAATAGCTCATTCAACAGCTCAAATACGATTTCACTATTAAATTATCAGTATGAAATTTCAATACAAATTTTTTTTCTTTAAAGGATTAATATAAAGAACTAAGAAAAAAAACAGTAAGGATAAGTGATATAAGTAAATATTTACAATGCATCAACAATTGTATATGATGGACATGCACTTAACATAAGACAAGTTAATCTCCATATAGCTATACGTATTGATTTTCTTTGTGTAATACTTGTCATTGATAATAAAGTCCATTCATTAACTTTAGCTGAATAATGAACATTAATTAAAGTACGAAAAACAGCAAAAGTTGTATATGCAAGTATTTAAGGATATACTTATTGTGTTGATGCAGCAAATTCTAAAATCATTTTATTCATTATAAATGATCCGATAAACCAATGTGTGCAAGTAATCATGGTAATGGACATAATAAAAGTAACAATTCATATTGTAATTTTAATAATTGTTTAGTACGTTCATAGAATTCTGCAACAAGTTCAATAAGAATATTATCTGATGATGATATTATTGATGAACTATCAATCATATTGTGTTCTTGATTAACATATTCAGTATTTAATGAATTTGTATTTTCATTTGGTCATTGTAATAATGTATAAATACGTGCAAGTATTAAAACAAGATAATCAATTTTGAACGATGATGATTGACGTATTATTGTTATTGAATGTTCATATAAAACGCCATATATCATTTTTGGGATATTGACCAATTATTAAAAGTCTTTCAAGACTAATTGATATAAATTTTTTGTGTTAAATTATTATCTTTAATTAATGATAATAAAATATCATATGAATTTAAATTATTATTTTATATATCATTATTTAATTCTTGTATTATATAATTTATTTAAATCAACTTGATGACTTTCAAGTAAAAATAAACATGATGCATATGCATGAATTTTAGTTAATTTAAAATTGTGTTCAATTAAACGTATATATAATTCATTATATTCTGCTGTTGTTTGTCCAAGTAATATACCAGATTTACATAAATTATAACTTATTAATGATATGATTAAATCATCTTCATCAAACCATGTACGAAAATATTTATCACATAAATTATATAAATTTGATTGATGGAAATAAATCAGATAGATATATAAATGAACCTATTAATTCATATTTTAATTGACTACTAAAAATTATTTGAATTTTATTGTTAACCAACAAGCATATAGTTCAATTAGAATTTCTAATGATAATGTTAAATCAAGACTATGACGAGAAAATAAACTCTAAATTATATATTTTTAAAGGTGGATGTTCATACTCGAATTTTCTGATTGATAGAAAATATTTCTCATATTTTAGACTTTATTAATAGAATACAAGACGTAATTAGAATATATTTGAAATTATTGATATAATCTTTTATCTATATGAAGTAAGATATTTTGTATATATTATATATCAGATCAATGTCAGAGAAACACTAGATTTTTGTTTGAAGAAATTAATAATTTAGCAATGAATTTACCTTTCTCTTAACTTAGATTTCTGTATAATAAAGTTTAAAATTCTTTTGATAACCTTTTTTTCTACACTTATTAACTTTTAAATGGTAATTTCGTATTACTTTGAATTGATGTTAATATAGTATTATATGAAAGTTGTCCATAGAATAATAAATCACGTGTACCTAATCGTTCAATAAATTTGAACTTGTATCTAATGTTGAACGTGTTTGCATATATTGATCATTGATAAAAAAAAGAACAGGTAAAATCTATTTTATTTTTCGATCTTATTACCATTGTGTTGTATTTCTTTCTAAATTTTTTCTTTTATTAAATTATTTGTTGTATGTTCATTTTCATCATTAGATTGATTT